GCAGATGGCTTATTACTGCAATGGAGTATAATTGAAAGCAGTTATTTTCTGCCTTTGAAAAATGTCCCACCTCGGAGGAAATTGAATTTTGATGTTATATACTGAAGTGGTACTTGTGTGTTTATTGCTCAATTGTCCCGGCGGCTGGTGATTAATTACGGCGAGTGTGCTTCATATAATGTTATTCATTAGGCTACACTGATCTGTTGTGCCGGCGCGGCTTTAACCTGAGATGTTTACCGCAAGACGAAGCGCCGTACTTCATACCGTCAGACTGTTCCGCACGCAACCAAATCTTTTTCCATGTATTTAAATATATCAGAGGGCGCTGACGAATCCAGGAGGCAATTTCAGAACAAATTTCAGAACAATTTCAGATCAGTTCAAGCAATCATTAAACATTACAGAAAGTAGTAAAAAAGGAGTTAATAATAGTGGGCTCACTCCAGTCAATATAGGAAATCCGTTGGCACATGTAAGTATAACTACCAACGGACGACCGAAATCAAGGCAAAATAATAACAATAAAAATAGTGGGGAACAACAAGGTAGTAAACTTTTGTCCCACAAAAAGAGAGGAATTAAATGTATGTACACCAAGGGATCAGCAAATATTGTCCTAATACAAGAGCTATGTGTCTTCTTCATGAATCTTGTTGAGCTTTGTGTATTTCTTCCAGATCTGTGCAGTAATCCAGTGTGACACTTGAAGCTTCCTGTAATAAAGACCGGTCATTGCTGATCTTCCTCCTTGTGCAGGGTGACTGGTCTTGTCTGCGCCCCCATCTGTAATAAAGACTGGTCACTGCTGATCTCTCTCCTTCTGTAGGGTGACTGGTCTTGTCTCTGCCCCCTCCTGTAATAAAGACCGGTCACTGCTGCTCTCTCACTTTGTGCCGGGTGACTGGTCTTGTATCCGCCCCCTCCTGTAATAAAGACCGGTCACTGCTGCTCTCTCACTTTGTGCCGGGTGACTGGTCTTGTATCCGCCCCCTCCTGTAATAAAGACCGGTCACTGCTGCTCTCTTTCTTTGTGCAGGATGACTGTCCTTGTCTCCGCCCCTTCCTGTAGTTTTCTGCAGGAAGTCTGTAGTGGGTGAAGTCTGCTGGGCCCCTCCCGCAGCTTTGCTCTCTGCACAGGATATGTACAGCACAGTGAGGATGTCCTAATGCTCCAGTTACCTTAAAAATAACTCTATGACCAATTTGCACAACTAAGTCTTTTTTTACGGATATTGTTTAAGGTTATATAAGGTTTTTATTTGATGCAGTTATATTACAAAAAAACTGCTCAGTTTTTCTTCTAGGCTGACAAATGCACAAACATGTAAGAAAGACAAAAATATTGTTTGGTGTTTCTTCCAATTTTATTAATGTATCATTATTTTTAACAATGCAACTGTATCTGACAGTTGCAATATTAAACACATGGCAAACTGCAGGCCAAAGGCTTTAATTTTTGTCAATGGATCCTTCAGGACACATGTGGTAGAGTTGTCACAGTGATCACATAATTGAGAACCCCTCAGATTGGTTACAGTCAGAATTGAATGCCAAGTGTACCGCTGAAGTGTCTCATGGGGAGAATGTACCGTGTATTAAAGTGTCGGCAGCAGAGGGCATCTTACTGGGGAATGTTAATATACAGTTTGCTGGTGGGAAGGAGTTAATTATATTCTCAGGGCCGGATGTCCCACAAGGCCAAGCAAGGCCCGGCCTTGTTTTGTACAAGTGATCTTGGGGACATTGTATGCAGCCTGAAGGTCTGCCATTCTCCATGGAAGGGGGGGGGGGGGGAAATTCAGCCCTGTATATTTGATGTTTGTATCCACATTCGCCTAACAGAAAATTCAGCTATGAGTAACATTCGTCAAATTTGTAATACAGCCAGTGTAACATTTGCTTTTTTTTTTAAGGGCAAATCACTGATTTTATGATCTAGTATTGATTCCGTGAGCAGGCCTGCAGTGCTCAGTGCCACTTACTTTTCTAGGTCAAAAATTTGATACTTTGCACTGTTGTCTGTGCCACAAATTGTAAGATTTTTCCTCACTTCCTGTCTAATAGATGGGTGTTCGCGAGAACAGGAGAGATCTTCCCAAGGGGGGACACAGGAAGCAACACAAAATGTGAATCTTGTTAAGGAAGGTTTTAAACTGCTGTCAGGATTTTATTGCTGTGTCCCCACTGGGTGTCCACTTCACACGCAACAAAGCTTTATCAAGGTATATAATCTGATTCATATCTCCAGGCTGGATTCTGTATGACCATGTACAGTAACTATTCACCAACGCTGTCATTTAAAGGAAAATTGTACTTAGAGAAATACAAAATATGTCTTCAATTATCTCTGTTTGAACATATTCGTTGCCTGGCTGTCCCTGGCTTCAATATTTTCCAAGGCCCTGACCTGGAACAAGCATGCAGTTAGCGAAGTTGAATGAAAGTCATATCCATGCAAGTATGGGAAGCCTTTCAGTCACCATCATAGCCACGAAACTAGTATTTTCATAAGGAGAGCTCAGATCATTATTTTGTCCCTTGTCTTTCAAACCTTACTGCGTGGACCGTGTGACAGTTTCTTCTCCTGGTGGGAAGTTCTGTTTGGCCCCCACATGGGGCCGTCTCACCACCCAACTTATAACACGTTAAACACTTACCGAACATCCTGTCCCATATGATGAGTGTCCCGCCATAGTTTGAATCAATGCAATAGGGATTTCTGCCTGCAAAATGAGTATGGAGGGAAAGTTAAGCAGACTTATAATAGCAAAAGTCAGTCTACGGAAACTTGGATTATGGGTTGTTTTTAGGGATGCACTGATACCATTTTTTCCAGACTGAGTACGAGTACGGATACTTTTTCTCAAATTCTCGCTGATACCAATTACCGATGCCTACCGATGTGACAGTTTTTCTAAAACAATACAGACTGATGATATTAGGACAGTGGTGAAGCACCAGGGCCCAATCGCATCTGCGACTCATGCAACCCTGGTAGTTCTGCCACACACCTCAAGCTGTAGAGAGACTACAAATACCAGCAATACATAGCAATGCAGAATACCACCAGCTATAGAGGACTACAAATCTCAGCAATACATTATACAGCAATGCAGAATGGTACTGGCTAAAGAGGACTGCAAATCCCAGCAACACATTATACAGGAATGGAGATTATTATCAGTTACAGAGGACTACCAATCCTGGCAATATATTATACAGCAATGCAGAATAAAGCACAGGACAGAAACAGTAGCTGTGGAATTCAGGTGCACTTTTGCTGCACTATACCTGTACATAATCTCTGCTGTCGCTCTGCCCTGGGGTGCCAGTCTGATGTCTCCAGGTGAAGAGTCTCAGGAGGGGGAAATGTGCAGGCCAGTAGAAGTATTTTACACTGGCGCCCCATGGTTCTCAAGAAGGCTGCCACAAGGTCCCCAGCAAGCATGGGATCTAGGGCAGCTGCTTAATTTGCATGAATTAAAGCACCAGTATCTGTTATGGCTATCTGAGCATTTGTACGAGTACTCGTGCAAATGCTCAGTATCGGCACCGATAGCAATTCTGGTATCAGTAGTGGTTCATCGCTAGTTGCTTTCTTTAGGAGACTTAGGATGGCAATACACCTATAGATTAGCTGCAGATTTTCTATGGTCAGATGGAAAAAGTGCAACAGATTCCTCCATCTACGCTAAACTGTGTGGATGGAGAATCTCCCACTGGGCCAAGCTTCAGTATCTTGATGGTCGGCCACACTGGTTCTCAAAACCAGTGGCGTAACAATCACCATAGCGACCCAGGCGGTCGCTGTGGGGCCCGGGCACAGCGGGGCCCGGCCAGATGTCGTGTGGGCCACCTGGGTCGCTATGGGATCTTCTGCTGCTGGCTTTTACTGGCGTCTGAAGACGAACACGCCGCTGTTCAGATCATCTGTGCAGCGGCGCGTTCGTCTCCACAGTCAATGAGAGCCAGCAGCAGCGGGGGAGCGGGCTGGACCCGGTGTTCTATCAACGTCGCGAGCCTCCAACATCACCGGCAGTGGAGGAGGAGGCGGGCCCGTGCTCGGCAGCAGGGGAGGAGGCGGCCTCGGTGACGAAGAAGGAGGTGGGCCCGGCGACGGAGGAGGTAAGGAGTGCGACCAGCCCACCTGAGGGTGATCCTGCAGAGCCCACCATAGAGATTCTATGGTGGGCTCTGCAGGGTCACCCTCAGGTGGGATCTCGAGTGGGCTCTGCAAGGGGTATAACTAGAAATCACGGGGCCCCATACAAAATTTTGCTATGGGGCCCTGTGATTTCTAGTTACGCCCCTGCTCAAAACAACTGAACAATGACTGCATCCAATCAGATTGTTCAGGAATTTTGAGAGCCAGCGGGGCTGACTGGGCAAGATACCGAAGCTTGGTCCAGCAGGAGATTCCTCCATCCACACAGTGTAGCGTAGATGGAGGAATCTGTTGCATTTTTTCCATCTGACCATAGAAAATCTGCAGATAATCTATAGGTGCATGGCCAGCTTTAAAGGGCATTACAGATACCTCACAACTTTTTTAGATGAGAATGAAGGACACTTTCCAGCACAATCTATTCAGGCAATGGGCACACTCGTGCCCCACCCCAAGGTAAGTGGCCTTTTTAAGAATGTATATGCCAAAAATAATTGGACACATCCATCATTTTTTTTTAAATTAAAGCTTTAGTGCACAGAATACCACTTTTGGTAGTTAAATGGAACCTTTTTTTAATAGATATCTGTACATCAGACCGAAAAGCGGGACAACTGAGGAGAAAAGTGGGACAATGGGTTTTGGTTCCAAATGGGGGACAGTTGGGAGGTTTGCATAATGCAACAGCAGAATATCTGGATCAATCTATTGTAGTTGTGTCATTCATGCAGAAGAACTTGTGACCTCCACCTGAACTATTACATTTCTGAACAGCACAAGTGAGCGTAATGCCCAAAATAAATAAACGTTGCAAAAATAACTCACCCAACATTCACTATAGACTTCCTTTATAGTATATGTTACCTTTTTTTTAAATTGATATCATTTCTACACAAAACATTTTGTAATGTATTATTACTTTCCCAGTCCTGATTTTCAACAATCTCCAGCTTCATATTTCTTTTCAATGCTCCATAATGTCTGACAAACCCCTTGCTACTGTAATTTGCGCACTTCCTTACTCACAGAACTGTACACAGAGCCTGCGATCAAATTACAGACAGCCTGTTGTTTGACATATGGCATCCCTTCCATGACTTTAGGTGAAGCAGAACTCCAGGCAGATATAAAAAAAAAAACCTTTATTCTAGCTATGTTCGTTAAAAAATATATTTTTTCATACATATAGTAGTATAAATCCCTCAATATTTCTCAGTATTAGCCTACTGCAATCTACATCACTGCTCTGACTGACATAGGGGAAAGGAATCACATTGGGGTCTAATTATAAACAACTTCCAGAGCCCTTCACCCTACGAAACTCTGTGAAAGTTAATTTCATGCAAAAATTTACATTCTTAGTATGTTTTCGTTTCAGGCCAAATGTAATGTAATACCACATTATGGCCCCTAGATGGGGCTGGGAAGTATAAGAAAGAAATACTTATTTCCCATATTACTTTACTCCACCTAGTGGCCTCAGTGCTAAATTACATTACATTCGACCTGAAAAGATAGTGGGCAGTCAGTGTTTCATGAAGGACTCAATGTAGTTCTTTAGTTGCAGGTTTCTAAAAATGTCTTCTTCTTCTTAAAAGTTTCTCTATGTAGTTTTTAGAGACTCAAAAGATTGGATGCCCTAAAGGGGGGGTAGGTCAAAGACCACCACTATTTGAAGAAATGTGGAGAATCAAAATTAGGATAAAAAGTAGGGTTGCCCCTCAGTTTGGAGGGAGGCAAATGAGGAAATACAAGTTCATGGGAGTTATCATCCCATATGCTTAGACTAGAGTCTCTTGGGAATGGGGTTTGCTAAATGGGGTCTATATTGGGGTGGGAGCCAGAGAATACTGGTGACATTAAGCAGGTCATCAGAGTAAGATTCCAATCTCACCCAAAAGAAGACACTGGATGTGATATGAGAGAAAGTTGTGCAATCTGGACGTCATGATAGTAGCTACACAGGTGTGAGACTCCAAAGCCACCATTGAGTTTGGTCTTATAAAGGGCTTGAAGGACAATCCTGGGTCTCTGAGAAGCCCAAATTAATTTCAGAGTTTTATACTGAAGCATAGGCAGAATATGTGAGGGAATTAGAATTAAGAGGATTATAAAGAACTATAAAAGCTTGGGAAAACATGTTATTTTGATGGCAGCCAAGTGGGTCAGCCAGGAGATTTTGGACTGGAGAGGAAAGGAGTTTTCTGTACGTTGGGGATGACTGAAGGATAGTTGGTGCTATACATGAAGTCATATGAGCTAGCAAGGTTATTCTCTAGGTATGAGAGGTGTGTAGACATCCATTGAAATTCAATTGACTTTTGGAGGGTTTGAACCAGGGTGGTGGGCAAGGATAGATTCGGAGCTTTGGATTTTTGCCTATTGATATGAAGGCAGGAAAGAGAGGCAAAGCAAATAAGTAGCTGTAGTAGACTGAAGAGTGTAGTAATGGGGCTGGTTATGTACAATATGAGATCATCCACAAAAGACAATATCTGTGGTGATAACCAACACCTTCTAAACCATGGATGCTCAGGTTTTGCTTTACAGGGAGGTTAAGTCCATAGCTAGTACAAATAGAATAGCTGGAATCGGGTAACCTTTGGCAACCCTTTTGTATACCTAAGAAGATAGGGAATTTGGATAAGAGGGTTTGGTATTCTCTTGTAAGCTGAGGTATTTTTCCCATCTTCCATTGAGACACTAGCTGTATGAAGTGCCTTGAATCGTAGCTTTATGAGCCTCCCAAGTCACTGGACTTTGTTCATGTAAAACACCAAAATGAGATGCTTACCGTGATGGACTCTATGGTGGCTTGGTGTGTTGAGGACCAGTTCCAATGGACCAAGGTTGTTTATTAGCTGTAGAGAAGATCAATACCATCAAATGCGAAATGTAAGATGTAAATTGTATCATTTAAAGCAAAAGTACCCTAACCACCACCAACATCTAAACTAATGAGCTATTGTAATTGCAAAGTAGACATGTGCGATTCGTTTCGTTACGAATCGAAATTCGTACGAATTTTCCTGAAATTCGTAAATTCGGAAGCATCCGAAATCCGAATTGCAAAAATGGAACAATTTTTTTGACGGCGCACAAGTGTATTGCAAAGTGTGGCAACTCCATTATAAAATGGCCATGGTTTGTGATGGGAAGTCCAACAAGCTCATATATGTGTTGACAGACTCTTGGCTTTACACAATGTATACTTATCTTTCATACCCCACTCCCACTCTACTCTGTGCTTTCCCAGGGCTATGCTCTCTTCATGTGACAGCACTAATTGGCCCAGTACTGCCAAATATGGAGTGAGTCACATGCCTTGGTGTTCCCAGCCTTATTGCCACCTGAGGCAGGGGGTGCGGGTAGTAGACACAGTCAGTGCGGGTGCGCAGTGGTGCTGGTTATACCACCCTCTGCAGGCTCTTAGCAACCTGGGATGCTCTGGTCTGTGTCATGCCCAGCTCCTGGCAACTAGTGACATCATTGGTTGCCAGGAGATGGGCGGGATGCCAGCCAGAACATCCCAGGTTGTGAAGAGCTTGATGGGGAGAGGTCTATGACCCTTATCCATCTATCCGCCCAGCTCTTAGCAACATGGGATGCTTTGTCTGGAAAGGGGGCAGCCGCACCCCCACACCCACGTGACCCAAAGAGATGCCTCCTGAGGCAATAGCCTCAGGCTGTCTCATTGTAGGGATGGCCCTGGTTACATGCTTCTCCATTCTTATAAATAACATATATTGCCTTCAGCTCTGGGTGGAACGGGGAGGGAGTAAAGGAAAGGTAAGTACTTACTCCTAAGAATGGGGGATTAAATCAAACATGTTGCTTTGCCCTTAATGTGCAACACACAAGCTTGTTTTAGGGTTCAAAAGGTAAAAAATAAAAATATCTTGATATACTTCTAAGACCCTCACAAACCGACATTTCCTCTTATTTACACAGATGGACAATGGCTGCCATGTTTGCTCAGTAAGGCCTCCGCTGGGGGCCGGGGGTAGCTGTAGGAACAAACACGGATTAATGGCCATCTCCCCAGCCCTGTGCTCTGCAATGCTCCAGATAAATACTGATTATTTTACGCCAACTGTTTTTCTATCTGATGAGGCCCTTTCACACTTCAGTGAGCATGTTGCGTGCAGTTTGCCAAATTTCCATGCGTTGGTGAAAAAGGAAAATATTTGGAGATTGAAAATGAAACACTCTGAGCGAGTCGGCCATGTTAGGATAATACGAAGCTCTGAAGGGGGGAGACTGCAAGAAGCCGTAGAGATGGCAACGCGAAAGGGGCTTTTCTGCTACATTGCACAACTTTGTTGACGCACTGTAAATTTTTAGATAGCTTTATTATTAAACAAAACACATTAGGGAAACACATTCACTCTGATATTTTATGAATAACCCCTATCAGACTGCGCTTTTCATTTAAGAAAACAAAACATAGTAAAAATACTAATGTTTGTTGCAGGAAGTACATAGCTATACATGGGGAGATACACTTAAAATGGGGCTTATTTATCAAGCAGGGAATGTGACTTTTAGCACATATTCACTGGGGATGAATCAATCATTTAAAAGACCTGCACCAGAAGAAAGTCACCTGCAGTGAATGTCAGATTCACTGCTTTATAAATAAGTCCCTAAAGTGTAACTCCACTTTTTTAAGAAAAAAAAAATCCTCTCTTGGTGATCCATGTATATTGCAAAGATGTTAACAGAAGATTCCTTCCCTTTTATGTTCTGAATAAATCGTTGATTTAGGCTTTTTTCACATGTGTTTTAAAACCAGGCATTGGAGAAGCGCTTTTAACGCCTCCCTACCACCTATTAATACTCATGTGGGATAATGCAATAGCAACCTCCCAGTGCAGTTTATACATGGGCGTTAGCGTTGTGTTGCTGTGTGTTAAAAAAATAGAATGTTAAAGTGTTCTTTCAGACTGATACCTGAATTAGGCCTCATTCACACTGGATCGGGCAGTCGTATCGGGCGGACTACCCGGCTGTACGCCACCCTACGGTCACCCGCCCTGCACGTGCGTGCGGGTGCGCGTACTCGTACGCTGACAGGATGGATCCTGTCTGCCTCCAAGCCAGGAAACCCGCACCCGTACGTACCTGCACTTGAGGTGAGCGTAGGGTGGCGTACGGCCGTGTTGTCCCATAGAGAAGGGTGGGGGCTGAGTACTAATCACACGCAGCACCTGTCCTTCCCGGGAGCTGCCCGATACGACTGTGCACGGAGCTGTATGATTCCAGTGTGAATGAGCCCTTAGAGGGTCTGCATTCATTACAATCACCTGAACAAATCTCAGGGTTCTAATTAGGAAGGCTGCAGGGTCTGCATCACTTTAGTAGGCAAGCTTTAGGGGAGTATGTCACCAAAAATCACATTCCAATTGCAGGGGGTGCCTAATATTTTACCTGTATCAGTGAGCCAATTCAAGGCTGCCGCAATTACAGTTGCAGACTTAAATGGAAATTTATTTTTTTAATAAGATTAAATAAAAAAAATGGCGTATGCAGCAGTTTCTCTGGTTTCCCTGGTTAAGTGCTCATTTTGTTCTAGGTGCAAAAATAAAAAAAGTTATACTCACCCGATCTTTGGAGCTTGTTTGCTCTTAGACCGGTCCCTGGAGCCTCTCTCCCCCTCCCACTGCAGTGGTCCAAGGCAGGGGCATCCCGAGGCCGGGTGTCACCCGGTCTCTAGACCTAGACCTATACCTAGTCCATGAGCGAGTGCCTGACTTTTTAGAGGGTTGACACCAAAATGACTGGTGTCACCCCTGCAATGGTGACACCCAGGTGCGGGCCGCACCCCCCTTGTTACGCCACTGGTCTAAGGTCCCTGAGTGATCACATTCTATACACACAGGACATACCATTCCTGCAGTGGAGAAGGAGACAGGCTGGAGGGAGTGCCGATGAGCCAGACAGCTCTGGGTGTAACTTTTTTTTATTTTTGTACCTAGACCAAAATAAGCACTTTACTCTTGCAGTGCAGGTGTAGCCCCAATGCAAGGGTTAGAATGTTTTTTTCCCAGGAGTTCTTTCTCTAAATTGTTTTAAATTTTTTTTAATCAGGCATAAACGATATATTGCATTTTAATATGTTTTCAGACAGCAGGTAGAGCTTTAGGCTCTTTTTATGTTTACTAAGTGTGGCAGTGCGTGGCAATGCCACGCAAGATGCTGGTGACACAGACACCCAGGACTCTCATCCAGAGGGGCTGAGAGGTTCCAGAAGATAATTCGTTTTGCAGGGAAGAAGCTGGCCTTTCAGTTTCTTCCATCTTTTCTGGATTGTAGCTGGGATCTGGATCTCTGGAGATTTCTAAAGGTGGTCATACACTTTACAACCCTCGCAAGACCTTAGTCTTGCGAGGGTTGTAAAGTAATTAAAAAAACATATGATCTGCCCATCTTGGACAGGCAGATCAAACTCTCGATCATCGCAAGCCCGCCCCCCTGAGATTACCGCAATGCTGAACGGGCAGTGTGCGCGTGCGCACACCGGCCCGTTCGGCATTTGTCTCCCGAGCACCGTTCAAACTAGCCGAAAATCGTACGATTTTCGGCTGGTTTTCTAGCATGCTCCTTAGACAAAAGACGTGCGCCCGTACAGTAGAAACGGTTGCACGTCTTCGTTCACACTGCTCGATTCTCGTACGATCCCGGGATTTCCCGCGATTATCGTACGAGAATCGAGCAGTGTATGGGCACCTTTAGAGTTCTGGGTGGGATGAAATCTCCAGTCCTGAGGTCAGGTGTTGCCAGTGATCAGGTGGCCAAGAGCAGCCTCATTAGGAGCCGAGACCAGAGCTCAAGGGGAGGTTGGTGTGGTGTGGGCTGCAGGCACATGAGGGCTCCTGCTGGGAAGAGGGACAGGTTGTGTCCAGGAGTCAGGCGGACGCCACCTAGAAGCCAGAGTGGAGCCAGGAGGCTGTGTGTGCACTGGAGGCGCCAGGGAATCAAACAAGGAGGCTTAGTGAGCCTGTGACACCCAGGGGATGTATGGAAGAGTCACATGGAGTATATGTGACAATGTCAAGTTGGTGAGACATTGTTATACAGTTATTGACTACTTGTTGAAATATAAGCAGACTACATGTTCTAGTGCTGACAAAAAGCTTGTTTCTGTTCTGGAAGCAATAAAAGACTGTTTTGTTTTATGCTGACGTGGCATCGAGACTGGTCTTTGAGCGCTCACCATTTGTGCTAAATTCCCCAAATATCACACAAGCTTTTATTAATGCTTTCCCTTTTCAACAACCCTTTTGTTTACATAGTTCAACAGCTCAAGGTTAAAATGCAACAAACAACTGGATGAGTCACGGGATAGACTGACGGAATTTAACCCCAAAACTAAAAAGAAAAAAAAATTGCCTTTCTTTTTTAAACTCGCTTTGGACCCTTGAACACATCTTTTGGTCCTCCAGATAAAATGTATTTCTGAAGGTAGAAATATAATAAAGAAAAATCTATATAAACCGCACCCAGCGCCATGACATTTATTTTATGAATTACTTTAAAAAAATAAATCGGAATTATCTGAAAGATATAATACAAATCAATTGGTTACATTTATCAGTCCAATCTTGCCCTGGTTACTTTTATTTTATTTTTTTAAACTCTTGGCAGGGAAAGCCATTTGAAATGTTTTCCCCTATCAGGGTCTACGCGGTTACAAGATACAGACACATGTTCCGCCAAGGAGGAAAGAGTTTGATATTAGACAGATTTAACAAAAGAATGTTATCTAATTGAGACCAACTGGTCTCATTGTTCCTTATAAACTTAGCAATATATTCAGTAAAAAGGAGCAAAACCCAACACATGTTTCTCTTTAAGGGAGTCAGACAAAGTTTTCTCGTACGCCATAAATCAGCTCCTACCCCGAATTTCCAGGACAGTGCCCGAGGCGAAGAACGGTATTAGGAATGGAGCTCACCTCGGTGTGTATCCAGAATTGGTAGAGGAGATTAAACTGAAGATGGACAGCAAACACTGACGGAGGGATGAATAATGCCATTGGCCAATAGAACATCTGCGAAACAAAAATGTAAACAAAAAAAATAATCAGATTTATTTTGTAGCATTTCAGTGATATTAAGACGTATCTAAACCCAAAGACAAAGAATGATATATCGTAGCTTATCAGTCCTTAGATGTGGTGGCTGCATTAGTTTTCATTTTTTAAGGCTTTTATTTAAAGTGACACTAAACTCAGGCGATGAATCTTAAAAATACATTCAAGTCCTTGAACTATGAACAACAATGTATGTTATTTGTGTATCACTCGGCTGTAGATCCTCCAATCATCTCTGAAATGCTGCTGACCGTCTTTCCTTCTGGAGGGTGGCTACGTTTGTTCCCCATGGTCCCTGTGTGTGTTGTAAAGTAGTCACCGCTCCAAGCTCACTCCAGTGATGGACTACAATCTTACATTTAGTTTAATAAATGTAGAAGAGGAGTGTGGAATGTAGGAAAGGGAGTAGTATGTAGTATGGAGGGTATGATGAGGAGAAATATGTGCAGGATAGCAGTGAAGGGTATGTAGGAGATTATTATTATTATTATTATTATTACATAGTATTTATACAGCGCCAACAGTTTGCGCAGCGCTTTACAATATAAGGAGGACATTACAGTTACAATACAATTCAAGACAAGATGGTAAGGAGGGCTATTTTTGAAGTGTATCTCTAACCAACATTTGTTTATTATTTTCTTTTCATTTTGGATAGAGTAGGGAAGGGTTAGATGATGATCCCCTGTCATTTTTTTTTTAATCACCCCTTCATGGGACTTTCCCCACTTTGCCTCCTGGAGACAGAACATCACTCCAAAGTAAAGGAAAATCCCCTCTTGGAACAGATGCCCCCCATTGGAACTTCCCCATCTTTTCCTGTTCAAGTGACAGCTGTTAAATTTGTAAAATGGCCACCAAGACAAACAGAGGCCATGAATGTCCCTAGCAGGAACACCAATACAAATCTAACAGGGGTTTCCACCATTGACTTTTCCAAATACTGCACATTTCCAAAATTACCAAAACAACATGGACGAGATGTAAGAATTGAAGCAGCACACCAATTAAAATAGTCCAATACAACTTTATTTCCACTAGGGTAAAGGGGATAATTGAGTAGAATAGCCACTTCCAAAAAAAAAACAACAACACCGGGCTACAGATACACTTTGAATACATTTAAATACAGGACCATTTCTGTATACCATCTGTAAGAATAACACCGTATATACACATAATTCTTTACCATGGACAGAAAATATAAGTGACGCATTTGTCCCCATTTACACAAAGTAAATTGTTTCCAGGTGTCGAGCTTGGGTGTAGACACGGCCATTGCAGCTTTGCCGGATTCCACATGTTGCAATTTATTCAGGGGTGAAGGAAGTAATGGACCAGGTATACACAGATGAACCTAAACCCCATCTAATCTGAATACAACAGGTCCAGCAAAAGCCTATCTCATGGGGGGGATGACGGTAAAAGCGCTGTATATCTTGCATTTAGCTGGAGCTCTGCTAATCAGATGCAGGTGGGCCTGAAGTTTCGATCGTTGTGCACCATCAACAATCGGTCACTTAACTGGCTTTTCGTCTGCTTGTACCTTTTTCCAATTTATATGATTTGCAAAGTATCTTAGCGCTCTCAGGTGTTGCTACACTCTTCCTGAAACGCGATCGGGTGTAGAGTGCCGTAGCAGGGGTTTCGTCGACAAATCAAATCACATTAAGATCTTGTCGTTCTTAAGTTTCTGGATTTACTAGGAGTGAAGGTCAACGTGCCCCATGGTGGATGGAGGTCTGAATTTTCCATTCTGTCAGCTGTGTCTTTTCATACAGAAGCGACTCGGCCGACTCCTGGCGAAAGCAGGGACGTAAAAGTCAACCCCAGAACTTGCTGCTTGGGGCTGGTAAATAAGTTTATACTTTGGTAGATTTGGGTACTTTGTTTAGAAGTTTTTGTACAATAGAGTTAGACAAGGAAAGTCCCTGCAGTGTCATCAAAGATGGATTAATTGTACCAGGATGGATTAATTGTACCAGGGGTCCCGGACTGTTTACAACTTTTGGGCCACCTGCCATACGGGTCAGTGTACACAGACAGTTGTCATGGGTTTTGAAACATTTCTAAGGATTCAGAATACAGTGTTGGATTTTAAACCCCATTCACACTGAGCGACATGGATATTGCAAGTTTTCCCGCGTGATTTCTTGCTGAGCGGCTTTGAGCTACATTGCGTGATATTGAGCGATATTGTACATTTTATCGCGCTACATATCACGTTTTTTTGGCGGGACTTCGTCGCTGCTACATTGGGCTGAAACCAATCAACAGCGATCTTGATGTGACATCATTCTTTCCTTCCAATTTGCAGTGCAAAAGTGACCCTTCTGTGGCACGATATCGCGCAACAAAATCGTGCAATATCGCTGGTAATGCGACACCATAGAGTCTATTGAAGCCGAATGGCGCAACATCCACGCAAAAAAGGGTCCGAGCACGAGCAACAAGCTTGAGCGACGAGCTACAGGTGACATTGAGCTGTGAGATGTGAACAGCTCTATTGAAATGCATTGGACAAGCTACATAGAGCAATATCGCGCGGAAATATGCACGATTTCGCGGCAGAAATCGCGCGGTAAACCAGTCAGTGTGAATGGGGTGTTAGAATTGGATCCTATAAAGAAGTATACTCTTTGCAAAGTGTTCATATCATGGCAACAGATAACATTAAATCAATGCATTCAGGTACACAGAGTATGTGCACACACTAGGGATGCATCGATACTGGTTTTTCGGTATCGAGTACGGGTACTGATATTTTGCTTTCGGTACTCATCAATACCAGAGCTTCCGTTGGCATTGAGTCTGCTTCCCAGGCAATCCGGGCCAATAATATCAGATTATAACATATATGGTGAGTTTATTGGTGGCATGGACAGCAATAAAAACTCGACAGGAGTTCAAACCCCTCACCTCTACAGAAAAAAAAGATTGGCTTTAGATACACTTAAGAGAAACACAAAGTTTGCTTTTGCTGATCACCTGAAAAATTAAAGGAGAACTATGGGGTCAGGGCCTTTCCCCATAGTTCTCCTTAGGGTAGAGATCCGCCCAGCTGCATGACTGACAGCTGGCTCTGCCTATCTAGAGGCAGAGCCAGCTGTACCCGCCCCCTCCCCCGTCCGATCTGCCAGTCAGCGCTGGCGGATCGGAGCGGGGAGGGGGGAATCCAGCCCCTCCCCTGTCACGGCAGAGAGCCGTGACAGGATCGAGAGGTGAGCGAACGCCGCTATGTGTTCGCTCACCTCCCAATCTACTGAGCCGACCTATAACAGTCTCATTGTCACAGGTCGGCTAGAACTATGAGGTGAGTGAAAAGCACTCACCTCATAGTTCTCCTTTAAGTCTAAAGACTTTCACACCTGAAATTGACTTACTATGAGCCTTAAAGAACATAACTTTTTTAACATCACCCTGGGCTCCCCTGATTTCTGGGGCCCTAGGCAACTGCCCGTTCTTATTACAATCTATCATTGCATATTTAGGGGGCTAGTGATGGGACTGGGCTATTTATTATTAATTTCCCAAACGTGTACTTTAATCTGAATTCACTGTAGCCAGATTCTGCAAGGCTACTCACACGTGCCGTGTGTAGCCCCCATCACCTTTTGTGAGGTGGCTACTAGACATTTAGTGATTGCCAGGGCTGTAGTCAGCCTGGCAGGATTATAGTGGCATTTATCCGGTTTATTCCAGGTGTCTGGCATTGACTGTACCCCCCTGGGTGGAGTGTGCTGTATTGTGGAACAGCCAATGAGGGACACTGTAAGTGTATGTACAGTACAGCAGCCAATCACTAGGTTTCTCTCAACCAGTGGTGCATGCTGGGATAGGATACATATACTGGAGGGAATTATCATGTGCTTAGACTAGTCGGCTCCAGCCATGGATTAGCACTGGACTGGGTGCTGTCCAGCTACCCCCTGGGCTAGACCTGTTTCCCTAGGCCACCAGTATGGAGGAGGCCTGTGCTGTTATCAGAGGAGGAGAACCAGGGCAGCTGATGTCTGCTGGAGGTGCCTGGAACATAGAGGACCTCTGGAGCATGGCTGGTGTGTCTTCTGCTGAGCATCTGTACTCATCCTTGCTCATCTGTTACTTCAATTACTATTCGCTGTACCACAAATGGATTTAACTGAGATGCTAACAAAGGTCTGGTGAGTCTGGAGTCTATGTCTGTTACACCCTGGATATCTAGGACCCCTATACCCTCTCTCCCCAGTATGAAGATGTCAATAAATGTTATTCAGCCTTGTATTACTGGAGTGGACATCAGCTCTGTGGGCACTAGAAGAGGGCGGTTAAATGCTAATGGGGCAGCTGAAGACCAAATCCCCTAGACAACTAGTGATGACCCAAGTTATTCCAGTGGCTCCTTAAGGGGTGAACACTACATAAGTTAGCAAGAAGCTTGCAGTGGGTTTATTTGGAAAGTCTCCTCTTGACTTGCAAACAGTTAAGAAATACAGGTGAAACTCAAATAATTAGAATATCGTGCAAAAGTAATTGCAGTAAGTGCTGCAAAAGGGGCCCAAACCAAGTACTGAGTACATATGCATGCTTGTGCTTTTCAGAGGTCCGATATTGTTCTATGTACAATCCATGTTTTATTGATTGCATGTAATAATCTACTTTTTTGAGGTTGTGGATTTGGGGTTCTTGGGGTTTTCATGAGCTGTAAGCCACAATCATCACAATTATGACAAATCACGGCTTGAATTATCTTGCTTTGCATGTAATGAGTCTCTCTCATATATTAGTTTTACCTTTTAAGTTGCATTAGTGAAATAAATGAACTTTGCACAATATTCGAATTATTCGAGTTTCACCTGTAAGTACTCATACGGAAATGGGGGACTGTCATACTATGACAATGTGTATATGAAGAACTGAATCCCTGAGCAGGTAAGCTGTGTTCATCTCAAGGCTTTGGCAGTTTGGACCGGAGTATGCCTTTAATTGGATAGGCTGAGCCAGCTCACCAGCTCCCCCATTTTAAAGAAAATTCCTTTTTAATGCAACTGGATTCCTTCTTTGATATTAATACTTTCAGTTCTTGGCACCCAAGTCACAGCAAATGAGAGAGAATTTTGGCAGGACGTCTTTGCCTTCAGAGGTGCCCAGATGTTCGGAGCACGTATCACACTTGTTAATACGCTCATTCCGAAACCTTAAAAATGCTTCTCATTCCACAAAGGTTATTAAATTTCCACTCGCAACGATTTGCAGCATACTTGTTCCCAGCTGTGGATCCATAATTTGGGACTCTTCTCCATACACCTCTCTCCATGTGGGGAGAAGACTTTGGACTGGGCTCACTCTTGGGTTGAGGAGTGAATATTATCATCTTTCACCTGCTACCAGTTGATAGGTTTCAGATGCTTTTTGGCTTAGTGGTTAGTGCTACGCCTGTGCAACCCAGGGGCCCTGCAATCCACACCCACCAGGGCCCTTTCTGTATGGAATTTGTAGGTTGTTTCTGTGCTCTGATTTTCCTTCACAATCCAAAAATATTCAGATGAATGTAATGGTCGATTCCAAGTTTATAAGCTCAACCCTCTTCAAGGCTAGCCACTAGGGGAACTACAACCCTCATCATTAGTTTACTGTCCCACCTGGCATAGACAGAATGTGCAGTTTTTGGTTATTCTTCTCCTGCTCTTTACTGTTATGGATTACAATCTCAGGTTTAGTTTACTAATTTGTATTGAGATTGTAGTCCATCACGGGAGTGAGCTTGGAACGGTGACTACTTTACAACACACACAGGGACCATGGGGAACAAAAGTAGCCCCCCTCCAGAAGGAAGGACAGTGTCAGTACCAATTCAGAGATGATTTGAGGATCTACAGCCGAGTGATACACAAATAAGATACATTGTTGTTAATAGTTAATGTGCTTGAATGCATTTTTAGGTTTAAAGGAGAAATATGGGGTCAGTGTTTTTCCCCATAGTTCTCCTAAGGGTCACGTGAGGACATAAACTAGCGTCCTCCTGTAACCCAAAGCTCAGTATATAGCGAGCTATAGCGAGCTACAGCTTGCGGTATACTGAGTCCGCCGCAGCCTCGACGGATCCCGACAATACTGTTGAGATCCACCCAGGTGCGTGATTGACAGCTGGCTCTGCCTATCTAGAGACAGAGCCAGCTGTACCTGCCCCCTCCCCCGTCCGTTTCGCCAGTCAGCGCTGGAGGATCGGAGCATGGAGGGGGGGAATCCCTGCAGGGAGCCGTGACTGACAGTCACGGCTCTCTGCCGGGACATGATCAAGAAGTGAGCGAGCAACAGTATGTATTCGCTCACTTCCCGATCTTTTGAGCCGATGTGTGACAGTTTCATTGTCACACGTCGGCTCGAACTATGAGGTTGTGAGAAAATCACTCACCTCATAGTTCTCCTTTAACTCCTGAGTTTAGAGTTACTTTAACCCGTCTGCCCTAGGCAAATGCCCATGACTGTCCTTATGCTAAATTCAGGTTTTGCTTTCAGCTTAGTCAGAAATTCAAAATTGCATCAGAATTGAATTTCTCATGAGGTACAATAATTTGACTCCACTTCACTCTTTAGCAGGGCAGACTAAAGCCAATGTGGACGTCTCTGGTTTTAGGGAAAGGCTGGGAGCTTCATGAAGAAGTGCCAGGCTGTAAGATGTCTTTTCCTGTTTTATACACTAGCGCGGGCCAGGCGATCCCACAGATTTCCCAGGCACCTGCTGCAACACAAACTGTCACAGGCCATAAGACATGCCGATCGCTCCAGCGCTGCCCCTCAGATATTTGTCTTGGCACGCGAGAGGGAACAGGTGGAATTAAGTAGAGCTCAGCTTGTTTATGTGTTGAAGAACTCATGTGGAGCACATGGAAGGGTCAGTCCTCCCAAAAGTGAAAGTTTAATTATAGGTATAGTATAGTGGGCTGATTCAGCCAGTGGTTGTTATTAATTTTAGGGGACACCAACCGGGACCGCTCCATGATGGGGTTCCTGTCTGTTCCCATCCACTTGAAGTTTGTCATATTATTCTTGCTTTGGTTACATTATCCATGATGTTGAAAAATTAAAAAATAGTTGACGTTAGTGGGAACCCCTCATGGTGGGCCTACATGGATCAACAGTTCCATGTACCAACAGATACTACTCAAAGAGCAGCAGCAAAGGAAGGATTAGGGGTAGGGATGAGAACAAGTTTGGACTGAACCCGGTCCAAACTTGAGATTCAACCAACACGGAAGGAGCTCCTACAAATACAGAGGGAAGCTCCTTCCACTGCTGCCCAATCAACTGCGACTGGAGAATTCCATCCCTACAGCTGCAGGTAAGCAAAGGGGTGGGGGATGCAGTGACGTCACTGACCTTATATGGCCACATGACTCTATTTAAATAATTACAGTGTCCTGCCATGGCCATGTGGCCATATTGGGTCAATTACATCAGCACAAGCATCCAAACCCTTTGCTTATGTGCAGGAATGCTCTAGCCCGCAGATAATTGTGCGGGTGGCCTCATGTAGATTCCAGTTTCAGGTTTGGACTGGGTTTGGCCCGAACGTGAGCTCATCCATGAATGTGAGCAGCTGCTCCTGATGCAGGACAAGTTGAGTATTATAGAACAAGGTCATTATTTTGTTTTAGGGCTTAGTTCAGGGGGTAGGTTAGCATGAGGGCTTTAGTTTAAAGTACATGTCACTGTGCTATTTCAAGCCAAAGTGACAGGTTCTCTTGATAAAAAAATTCTCACACTCATTTGCAGCATGATTATAACAGGTATGTGACTCGAAAATATTAAAGTCAGAAACAGCCAGGAAACATTTTCGAAACAAGAGCATCAATGAAAGCCCCCATAGCTTTTTTCATGACCGTTGAGCATTAAAGCCCAGTTACCGTTTAAATCAGCTAAGTACATTCTGTACTAGTAGCTTACTCTACTCAGGCTGTGGCTGATTTCTAAAGAAAACCAATTGCAAGATTTTAAGAGACAAGTGTTTAAGTGCTAGGGGGCTTGAGAGTTAAGGTCTTATTTGGGGGATTAGGTAAAGTGTTAAAGGCTTCAGGCAGGGAAGGTTTAAACGTTAGGGATACTTTAATGCTAAGGACACTTTATATGAAAAAGACAGAAGAGCTGCAGATCTCTGGTGCTGACAGCTGTATCCCAAAATATGCCAGTGACCTGTGATCTTAATGCAGAGGTCTCACCACCTTCAGTACCTGAAGTAAATAGGGGATATAAAAAAGGGTTAGGTCCTTTAACGCTCCTTTTCTCTTGTTAGTAATTGGAAGAGAGTTAATACATTCAACAGTGGCCTGCCATTTCTCAAATTCTTTATGTATTTTAAGATGGGACCCCGTTTATAACAGGAGAGAGATGCCAACGTTGGAGAGAACAGAGCCAGGTACTATTTTTTGGAAGAGAGCAGCGTTTCTCAACCTTTTTTATAGTCAGGGCACCCTTCAGTCTAAAATGTCATGGATTTTAAAGGAGAACTATGGGGTTAAAGGCTTTTCCCCATAGTTCTCCTTAGGGTAACGGGAGGACACAAACTAGGCTCAGTATACCGCGAGCTGCTGCTCGCGGTATACTAAGACGCCGCAGCTGAAGCGGATCCCGAAAATTATGTCTGGATCCGCCCAGCTGCATGACTGACAGCTGGCTCTGCCTATCTAGAGGCAGAGCCAGCTGCACCCGCCCCCTCCCCCGTCCATTCCGCCAGTCAGCGCTGGCGGATCGGAGCGGGGAGGGGGGAATCCAGCCCCTCCTGTGTCACGGCAGAGAACCGTGACAGGATCGAGAGGTGAGCAAACGCCGGTATGTGTTTGCTCACCTCCCGATCTACTGAGCCGACCTGTGACAGTCTCATTGTCACAGGTCGGCTAGAACTATGAGGTTAGTGAAAAGCACTCACCTCATAGTTTTCCTTTAAGAGGGACCCCCACATAAAAAATATGGTTCTCCTCTTCCAATCGAAGTGCCCTTTTAAAATCAAGAATCCCCTTCTTCACATCACAGTCACCCTTTGCATCAGGAGCCTCCTTCACATCAGTCTCCATTCCTCCCATTACATCACACTCACTACCAGAAAATTTTGAGGCACCCTTGAGGAAACCAGGAGGAAAACTAGGGTGTCACGGCACCCTGATTGTGAAAGGCTGCTCTAGAGGATGACTCAGCCTACCAAACCCCGCCACCTATAAACTAAATACACGGACAACATTTTGTGGACACCATACCATTACACACATCTTTGCATCTTATAACAAACGCCAATCTGCTGGGAAGGCTTTTCACAAGATTTTGGAGAGTGTCTTCGGGGTTTTTTGGCCATTTAGCCAAAACTGCATTTGTGAGGTCAGATGCTGATGTTGGATGAGAAGACCTGACTCCCAATCAGCTTTCCAGTTCATGCCAGAGGTGTTCAGTAGGGTTGAGGTCAGGGCTCTATGCATGCCATCTGAGTTCCTCTATACCATCCTGGTCTAACCATGTCTTTATGGAGCTGGCTTTGTACACAGGGGACAGTCATGATGGAACAGAAAAGGGCCTTCACCAAACTGTTATCACAAGGTTGGAAACCCACAATTGTCCAAAATGTATTTATATACTGAAGAATAATCAGTGCCCTTCAATGGAAACACCCAAAGTTAATACGTTGGACGGGGGTCTACATACTTTTGGCGATACAGGTAGGTGTGATGGACAGGTGCCCACTAACCTATGGTTATATAGCATATCAAAACCAATTACCCAGGAAAAGTATTTCTGAAGGAAGGACTGTCGCAGAGCTGTAGTAAGGTTGTAGTGCTCTGAGCTGTGATGAGTCTGATGGCCAGCCCAGATGATGTTCACCTCTGTGGAAGAAGGACAAATATGAGTAAGTAATGCAAGCCAAGCACTGAGTCACCCTGTACCCACATAACAACAGTGCTGCCTGTTTATGAAACTGCCCATAAGAGCGAATAGAAATGATTTGATTGTGATGTTCCATTGACACCCCAATTATTCCAAAGTAAGCTAATGTTTCTGTAAGCAATTTCTTGCATCAATATGCATTAAAAAGAACTTATAGCGTTTTTCACATGCTCTACCATTAATATCAAACCAAGCCCTTAATAAAAAAATATATAGCAAACAACATAAAACAAGTCCGAGTGCTTGCCAAATGCCAGAGATACAATTTCTAAAATGTAATCTTAATATATAGAACCATTAATGTGTCTAATAAAAAAGCCTTACATGTGATCGGGAATGTAGAGATTTATTGGTATGTTGGTTTTTGGTTCTGGCCTCAAGGTGTGCTGCCTCCAGCAAGTGTATGGTTAATGCAATGCATTGTTATCGTGTATTACTATAGTTAATGATTGGTATGCTGCCACCTAATGGTTATTAGGTTTATTGCGCCCCTTTTTTGTGTTTCCTCCCCCTTGTATAATGTAACACCTCCTTCTTCCTGTGTGTTCTATTCAGCCATTTTTTGGCCACATGTGCACATGAGGAGAGGCATTATCCTTTTTCTGACCTTCAAATACTATCATTTCAACCATCTGCTACATCCTATTGTCCGCCACTATTCTGCTGCATACAATAAAGATCCTCGTGGATGAAAAGTATTTGGCGAGTTCAGCTATCTGATGAAGATTGACTGCAGTGATTGTATCTGCTATATACAGGCCAGGCATAGAGGTCTCAGGAAGGGATAAACCACTATTTCAACAACTGGAGTCAGAATACCAGGCAAACAACTACATACATTGCTGAAATGCCTATATGAGTGTTGTTTTATCTGCCAAATAATTTCTATTCTTGGCTTGAAATTTACACAGCTCTGCCAAATAGCACAGCCAGGTTGGTGACCAGGTTTTACTCTACTCTAGTAGAGATGTGCAGCTTGGCCACCTTCCTTCCCCCAGCCTAATATTGGACAAAAAAATTAGAAGCAGCAGATTGATGAACTCATCCCTCACTCTCCTTTCTTCTGCTCTTAACATGTTTCTCATCCATGGAGCAGACCTGATTGGACACTAGTACCCCCCCCCTCTCTTCAGCTGAACAGGAATCTGATACCAAGTCATATAAGTTACTTACACTTGCTGTATTTAAATAGTAAATGGGCAGTAAATTGGGCAGTGGGTGGACTGGAGATCTGACAGCACGGCTCATGCTCATAGCAACTGTCAATCCATAAGCCTGGGTGGGTGTGACAAAGCTGAATGTAGGAGCAAACACATTAAAATCGTCAGGATCATCAGGTATTCCAGAGCACATGAATGAGAAATGACATATAAGGTGAGATCTACCAGCGTCTGTATTAATACACATATGCATATACCGTATGTAAGATATATATTATGAGCATAAAAGCTCAACTTCAGACAAAAATATTTTTGCAAATGTGGAAAGGGTAAGAGTTAGAACGTCCCCATTGTGGAGATTTCCCTTTACTTCCAGTCTAGGTGACTGTCATTGGAAGTATAGGAATTCTCTCCAAAGGGGACAACGAGCACCACAAAACTACTTTTGTGAGGAAGGATTGAAACATCTGTTTTCATTGCTGTTTGTTTCTTCCTGCTTGCAACACCCGTTCCTGTTGGTATCATCCAGACAGGAAGTGAGGGTAGATCTCAAAGTGAGGGTCACAGACAGCAATTAAAACAACAAGAGATGTTCCAATCCTTCCTCACTTAAAACTTAAAGGGCAAGCCCAGTAAATTGATAAAAGGACAGGGGCCTTACCTGGTGGACAGGTGCACTGGCTAAATATTTTGCCCGTGCGGTGAACTGAAAACAGCTTGGGCTTTTTGTCGAACTCATGGTCCACCTGAACCTGAAGCTCATCCCTACCGGCCAATAGAACCGGAAGCGCATCCCTACTGTTCAATAAAGCTCAAAGCTCATCCCTACCGGCCAAAAGAAAGTGAAGCTCATCCCTACCGGCCAATAGAACCCAAAGCTCATCCTACCAGCCAATAGAACCTGAAGTTCATCCCTACCAGCTAACAGAACCTGAAGCTCATCCCTACCGGCCAATAGAGCCTGTAGATCATCCCTACAAGCCAATAGAACCTGAAGCTCATCCCTACTGGCCAATAGAACCTGAAGCTCATCCCTACTAGCCAACTAGACCTAAAGCTCATCCCTACCCGCCAATAGAACCTGAAGCTCATAACTATTGGCCAATAGAACCTGAAGCTCATCCCTTCTAGCCAACTAGACCTAAAGCTCATCCCTACCGGCCAATAGAACCTGAAGCTCATAACTATTGGCCAATAGAACCTGAAGCTCATCCCTTCTAGCCAACTAGACCTAAAGCTCATCCCTACCGGCCAATAGAACCTGTAGATCATCCCTACCGGCCAATAGAACCCAAAGCTCATCCCTACCGGCCAATAGAACCCAAAGCTCATCCCTACTGGCCAATAGAACCCAAAACTCATCCCTACTGGCCAATAGAACCCAAAGCTCATCCCTACCAGCCAATAGAACCCAAAGCTCATCCCTACCAGGCAAAAGAATCTGAAGCTCATGCCTACCGACTGACAGAACTTGTAGCTCATCCCTACTGGTCAACAGAACCTGAAGCTCATCCCCACCGGCCCATAGAACCTGAAGCTCATCCCTACCAGCCAATCGAAGTCTAATGGTAGGCTGCCCACGCCTGCGCAATAACATCCCATAGACTTGAATGGTACGTGTCCATACAAAAACTGCAGCACCAAAAACATACCATCAATATATTTTTACACACACGCACAGCCATACAAACAACATACACAAAGACATAATACCCGATACAGCTGAGTAACATTGTTGTACGCCCCTAGTTTATTCATATCCCCATCTGCTATACAAATCATAGTAGGGTTTAGGAAATTTCAAAGTCATCTTCCTAATGATGTAATAACCACAAATACATGAGTGCTATAACAGCAAGGAAAGCTGTCACCTAGATGTGAGATCAATGCTGACTAAACCACATTAACAGTCTCTCTTCAGCATTCAGCACAAGGGGAAACCTACAGCTGCGATTCGAGGCCGGCCCAAAAATAGAAGCAGCGACATCGTTACAGCCGGGGCAGTCCGAATGTGCGATTTCTGCCATGGCAAACAAAAAACCCAACTGTGAGAAGATACAGAAATGATGCAATGGAAGGCAGAACAGAAGCTGTGACGTAGTACAATCATCATTCCGTAGCATGTGCCCAGTGAGGGATTAAAAGCCACTTTATGTATAGGCCAGCAGCCAAGAGGAGAAAATTCTGACACTCGGGCCTGAAATAGACTCTGATTTTCTGGATTGTGCAAAACGGAAAAATAGACATACTTGTTTGAACAGACCGTGCCAAAGAGCAACAGAGTTAATGTAATATTAGGATGATTTCTAATTTTATACCGAACTGTACAATAGAAAAGAGGTGGTAGTGCGGTTAGGGACCTATAGCTGATATATACTGTATATACAGCATGCAAGTATTAGGTAGAGTAGGGAAACATTAAAACCCTTGTCATTGAAAAGATTTTCCTCGACTTCAGCTCAGAGATGCAACAGGAAGTGAGGGAACGTCTCTACAAAGTGAGATGAATTCCCCTCTTAGACAGTCGTTAGCAGAACAGGTGTCCCCATTTGAAGATTCCTCCACTTTTTTCAGTTTCCCATTACTTTGTGATAATGGTCATTGGCGGCACAAGGGGGGTGCGGGGGGTGCGGCACGCCCCGGGGGACACCATTGGAGGGGTGACACCAAAATGACTGACATTCATTTTGGTGTCACCCCCTCTGGTACTCGGTCATGGATCGAGAGCCCGACAGTTGCGGGAGAGAGGAGAGGGCCCGGGGGCATACCTCATCCCGCCAGGTGACTGTCCCTTCCTCTCTCTCCCAACGTCCATCACCAAGATTGCCGCCGGCAGGAATCAATAAGGTTGCCCGCGCATGCGCGATGACGTCACCACGCACGCACGTGGTGACGTCATGCGCATGTGCGATGACGTCACAGCAGGGTGTCACGCGGTAACTCCTCCGGTTGACACCTTTCGGGACACCCCTGATAATGGTCACCAGGATATGCCCACAACAGGTACATAGGCAGCAATAAAAACTCAACAGGAGCATTAATCCTCCCCTACCATACATGTTTGTCCATACTTACACTTAAGGTAATTGAAAGAAAGGAGCTCCGAGCTTATATTCTTTGGAATAATGCCTGTGCTATGTGCAACACAAGAGAGCAGAGGATTATTAGACCAAATACATGGCTTAGGTCCTCCATCCAACGTGCAGCCTAGTTCTTCAAAATGATCAGAAGGATCATCCATCTTGCATGTGTTTTGTCATTGCTCTCAACATGGACGAAGGCAGCTGAGCCATGGCCAGCCCATCTCCAGTTATCTGTCTACCCTGTCGGGGTTCGGCATGTTGTGGACAGCAAACCATCTAGATAAGGCAACCCTGGTGACAAATGGTTCCATCAGTCTTTTTGATGATATAAAACACTATCACAACCACCTGTTTAGCCCTTCTTGCATTACCCTCCCCAACCTATTAAGTGGGCCCGTCTGTTAGCAGTCTAATACTCATCTGTCTTCACTGGTGGAAAATGCTGAAGCACACATGGGGCTGGGGCACCCATGGGGATGGGTAAAACTAAAACAGATTTCTACCATCCCCCTTATTGGCTTAGTCCAGCAGTGCTGTGAGCCCAGGCTGCATGGTGATGACGCGGCCCCGAGCGGATGCTGATCGTCATTCATCCTGGAAGGTCTTCAGATCTGTCCCCCCTCTCGATCATCCCTCCCAAAGCCCCCTTACCCTATGTCCAGTAGTCTGTGGGTCAGTCCAGTGACGTTGAGGGTC